ACTTTCCAAATTTATTAATACTGCCTCTCTATGCATTGTAACAATGTCCTTTGACAAACACCACCTTTTACGAAATAACTATGGAAAATGTTTGTCAAACAGAATAAAATTATTGTACTTTCGTAATCAAGTTGTCTATTCTGAACAAATTCATGAGATGACGCGGCAAACGAATCCGCCGTAGGAAAAAAAGATGGCGGTTGTACATTTTACCACAATACCATGCGAACCTTACACAGCCTATAAAGTACTAGGAAAGCCATATTTTTGCGATATTTGTCCCCGTGCTAACAAAATTGTGCACGCTAGGTTTGAAGATTTTAGAAATTTTCTGTACGTCTTTATGAGCGTTTTAAAGAATAATGGTTAAATGTACCAGTCGCCATTTTTTTTCTTACGGAGGATTTCAGAAGTTAAAGAATGAAAGCTTAGGCTTGGCATCGGAAACAAAAACCGCAGAGCAAAGCGACGAAAACATTTAGCGCTATGAATGTTTTAGGAAAGGAAAGGAAAGGTTGTCGCTGAAAGACAGAGAGGGTATTAATTAATTCAAAAGAACTTTGACGGGAAAATGCAGGAATTCGCGGCCGGAATCAGTCATCGCGAAAGGAAAACTATATGAAAAGTTTGCAAGTGGTACAAACTTCATGCCCTTGGCGAAGCGCTTCAACGATGACTTTAAAAAGTTTTGCAAATGGAATAAAAAGGTTAGTTCTAAAAACGCTTTTTTGAAATTTATTCAGAATTTATTTACTTATGTTGAAGGTTATGAAGTCTGTGTTTTTCTGTATTTTGCTGAATGAAAACTATTGCTTGAAAGCTTAATGGAAACCAAATTTATTTATCGTCTTATGATTGTATGCATTGAATTTAAAGTTAAAACTACTGGTAATTAAGCTTGATGTTTACTCAAAAGAAATCTTTTCCCTGCTTTTTCAACAACCCAAATTGATCAGTCTAGCCGAGCAGTAGTCAGAACTGTGTCCTCCACAGACCGCCGTAGAAAGCACTGAAAAGCTTAAAGCTTTCTTCTAAACTCAAGCGTAAACGGAATTGGCGTAAAAGTTTGGCTATGGAAAATCAAGCGTAAGCTTATATCGCGACCAAATTCTGGTCCTGTTTTTCCTTACAAATTTCTATGTGTTTGTTGTATTTAACGATATTAATGTTATTGATATCTAAGCCCGTAGTTCTGCGTGTAGTCTGCTGCGTGTTGGAAACCATGTGCTTACCGGTGCAATAAACGATAGGTTTTTGACCAATCAGAGCGCGCGTAGTGTCTCAGCCATTGGGGAGCTTAAGCAAACCACGACGACAACGGCAACGAAAACTTCACTAAACAAAAAATTTAATGGGCAAAACAATGGCTGTGCACGTGCCTTATAAATCTTTGTACATTTCTTAGCCGTCCTCAGCAAAACAAGAACGTGAAATGACCATGTTCCGCGTAGTTTGAGGAACGCGAGCGATGACGGCTAGTTTTTCGTATTTCCGTTTGGAATTGAACGCTGCCATTGCATATTTAGCCTGAGCTCGTTTTAAGAGCCATTGGCGTACTGAACAGATCTAGAGAACTGCGAATTTCGCTGGTAAAACATAAATTCATTTTTCACTAAGCGCCGTCCTCGGCGTCGGCGTCGGCGTCGGCGTTGCTTAAGCTCCTTATTTTCTAAATAGTACTAACCAGGTTAAAGCAGCCTTAACAAACTCTTTTGCATCTAATGATACATTCTCTGGCAGCGTAGGCTCGATGGGTTTGG